TTTAATGTTTATGTGATGCCGGTCTTTAACCTACACTGTAGCGACACAATGACGGCTCATAAAACTAATTAGGTGGATACTGGCCATCGAAATTGAGCAATAAGTTCCGAGTATCTTCCAGCTCCCAGTTTAACAGCAGCGGCGACACTACTTTTCATGGGTCCCAGTATCAACTAGCGCTTACAAATTGATGTTGTTGGTGAGCATGTCAACGATGGCATGAGAGAGACCTTTTGATTAGGCTGCGACTGCAACAGCGGGGGTATAATTCCAAACTTCTGAGGCGGTGTTTTTCGTGGGGCGTTGAGGCTGACTGTGTCTCTTTACTTCGCAGAAAAGCAGTTGTTGGACGACAGCGAGGGCAACAATTCGTCATATGCCGTCTGCAGTGGTTCTTTCTGGCATGTATTAGTTTTTTTCTTTCTGAAATGTTTGGCTCTACCATTTCGAGGGATCGGGTCTGTCCAAAATGCACGGACATATGGTTTGGGACTACAGCTTTTATAAAAGCATATCAAATGACTTGCGTCTTTGCGTTCTCACCTCGAACTTCTAGTTCTAGACGAGTGACTCCAAATTCTGCATAAAGTTGTCTAAGGCTCCCTCCTCTTGCCGATAGCATGTAGGTAGCATCAGAAGACTTTTCATCGGCTTGGTCTGTATATTCTTCAGTGTTTCGATGACACGTAGTTTGCGAGAATCCTCTATTTGCTGAGTGACAGGGAATCAACAGCGTCGAAACAATAATTCAAACTATTGAACCAGTGGGTCAGTTGTTCCCCGGGGTTTGCATTTTTGGTATCACCATCGAAGGATTCAGTCCATTTCTTGCTTACTACGAATAGACGAAACAAAAACCTGCCAAGTGAATAGGCTATGAATAAGAAGTATTCAACCAGAAGTGGGCTCGAGTAGTCTGAAAAATGTACAGAAATAATAATGCTAATACTAATAACTATTCATTTGTTCAATTGTTCTCTGAGATTGGCGGTTTTGTCGCAAACCTTTCTCCACCATACGAGGTGGCATCCTCAGTGCAGTGAGATGCGGCGTGCAATCTTACTGGATGAATCGCCAATTCGTGATCGACCTGCAGGTGACTTTTTAAAGTGGCGGTGTCGATTTGCGTCCCTTAGCCTCTACCTACTTTCTCCAAGACCAAAGGCGGTGCCCGAGTTGTTCTGCCTTAAACCGAGTGACAAAATGTTCTTTATTTCTTTCTGTCGAAGTGGTTCGTATATTGAATCGATGTCGACGCGCATGTTGATTGAGTTTTTCGTTGAGAACCAAGCTTCCAGGAATTCCCTTTCTTTTTTTGTTTCACCCCGTGCCAGGACTTCTGCTTTGCTCCAATCGAAGCTACGTCCTTCTTTTATCTATATGCATTGAAACTAGTGACGATGCATAATGCTTTACACAGGCTCTTTTATGATCTTGTATCCTTGTTATCAGTTTTCTTCCCGTCTGGCCAACATAATTCCTTTCGCAATCTCGACGACTTATTTCGTATACCACATTGCGTTATTCATGCGCCCGTCGTTTTTCTTTTGGTTTTGAAAGGGTTTTTCTCAACGTGGCAGTTGATTTGTGTGCCACGATGAGATGATGCTGCTTGAATAATCTGGCTGCCATTTCCGATATGTTCTTCAGATAAGACAGAACAACCCGCCTCTCTGTTGTTGTTGTTGCTGCCGTTGTTGTTGTTGCTGTTGTTGTTGTTGTTGTTGTTGTTGTTGTTGTTGTTGTTGTTGTTGTTGTTGTTGTTGTTGTTGTTGTTGTTGTTATAGGCTGTATGTTTACGTTGGGATCACCTGTCAGGACTCATCGCAGAGATGGTTATACAGAAATCGGAGAAGGATGTACTACCATTCATCAATCCGAAACTGTGAGTTCGGTATGTGGACAACACTTTTGTGATAATCAGGCGCAACCAAATAACCTTCGCACAACTGCTATCTGATAACATCATGGAAGGCATCCAATTTACAATGGAACCGGAGAAGGAAAGCCGATTTCCTTGCTTGGATGTATTAGTAACAAGAACCATGGAAGGCGAACTGCAAACATCGGTCTACAGCAAAGGCACACACAGACCAAGTTCTGAGTTTTAACAGTAATCACCCAAAAATGTCACAAAGTAATCTGTGTGCGGACGCTGTTTCGCAGAGTGCAAACACACTGCAGTACCACAGAAGCAAAGCAAAAGGAAGAAAAACACCCATTTAAATGTTTCCAACTTAACCGATACTCAGGGATCTTCATCCGAAGGTGTCTTAATCACAACATAAGCATACAGCCTACAATAACAACAACAACAACAACAGAGAGGCGGGTTGTTCTGCCTTATATGAAGAACATATCGGAAATGGCAGCCAGACTATTCAAGCAGCATCATCTCATCGTTGCACACAAACCAACTGCCACATTGAGAAAAACCCTTTCAAAACCAAAAGAAACACTGCAGCCAGATGAACAACGCAATGTGGTATACAAAATACCTTGCCGAGATTGCGAAAGGGATTATGGTTGCCAGACGGGAAGAAAACTGATAACAAGAACATAAGGGAGCCTGTGTAAAGCATTATGCATCGTCACTAGTTTCAATGCATGTAGATGAAGAAGGACATACCTTCGATTGGAGCAAAGCAGAAGTCCTGGCACGGGGTGAAACAAAAAAAGAAAGGGAATTTCTGGAAGCTTGGTTCTCAACGTAAAACTCAATCAACATGCGCGTCGACATCGATTCAATATACGAACGACTTCGACAGAAAGAAATAAAGAACATTTTGTCACTCGGTTTAAGGCAGAACAACTCGGGCACCGCCTTTGGTCTTGGAGAAAGTAGGTAGAGGTTAAGGGACGCAAATCGACACTGCCACTTTCAAAAGTCACCTGCAGGTCGATCACGAATTGGCGATTCATCCAGTAAGATTGCACGCCGCATCCCACTGCACTGAGGATGCCACATCGTATGGTGGAGAAAGGTTTGCAACAAAACCGCCAAGCTCGGAGAACAAATAAACAATTGAATCATTAATTCGAGCTACCAGTATTCCTAAACATTTTAAATAATAACTATATTTCTCGTCGTACTGAGATACCGTGCCTGATGGAATATTTGTATCTAAACGAAGCTTCGCTCAACAAGTAACTTATTCTGTTGTTCTCAATCCTGAAACTATATGCTGAAGGGTTATGATAGCTGACAACACGGAAGTAAGTTATGCGTCAACGTTTTTTCTGGCTGATACCGTCATAATCGATTCGGTGACCAGTAAACTTAACACATAACTGACCAGAGATACATTCGTCGATGTTGATCGTCAGGCTGTGTTGAGCGAGTGTTCGCTATTTGAGCTGACTAGTTTTATAACACAAATGTCCGTCGGATGTCAAATTTCCATCCGATGACCGTCCGATTTTCTTAAGAAGCTAAGGTGAAACCTATTTCGTCCGGAAATTGCACACAGAAGAAAATTATCAACATTTACCCATACTGTCTTACATCATTTCTCAATTGCCATCCTTATTTTCTGCTGCATCCTCGTGATCTTTCGTTTTTAGGGAAATCCAGGAACTCCTTGGCAGTTCCTTTAGCGCACTGCCTTCTGTTGATATAAGGCTTGTGTTACGCAGCAGCTGTTACAGTCAAATTTAACCATCGAACCGCTCAGTTATAAACTTTCGATCAACCTCTCTTTAAGTGACGCGTTTAATTTATCTTTGTATTTTCTTAACTATTATGTGTTTGGTTACTCTTTGGAAAGATCTTGCATACAACAGCGTCTGAAACAGATATTGACCTAATTGATTGAAACGGCGCACCTCTCACTGCACAGGCGCATGATATGTGTGCAACTCAATGTTTATCTGTATCCTGCACCAACTAACTAGGCGGCAAATTTGTTTGACTTTGTACCCACCATAATGTTTCTGGTGGTGTCTAACATGCAACTGTCTCCACTCTGCGGCAGCTGTATGGTGGCCATAGCATTCATGACTTCAGTCTCCTCAAGTTGCTGCTCTAAACGAAAAAGCGCTTCAATACTCTTCAGGGATATTGCGACCGGGCAGTAATTCGTCTTGTGGTTTGTAGCAACTGCGTACCACATTGTATCTACAGGCAACCGGTTCCAAAACCTCCTCTCGCATGCAAATGGCTTCGCGGGTGATATACTGAATTTGAATTCCAGGGGTAGTCGAATTTCTCTCACTAGGTACTGCTTTTTAAGTCCGCATCTCCTGTTTGGACGTATTTATCAATTTGGGAACAACGAATGCGACAGACACCGGCACAAACGGGATGGGGTATATACGAACGGAATGTTTTTATCCGAAAGTAGCGAAGGAGTGCATTATCCTTCGACAACTGCGTTGAGCACTCCTGAACCGAATTTCGAAATGGTAGATACAAGTAGATTCAAGTAATCCATATGTACGTTTTAGTGTGTTCTTTGCGACAGTCCTTAAGCGGGCTCTCATTCCGAGATGACTTTTGGAATACCGGTAACAAATGTGTAAGTAGACCGTACATGCGTTTTCTTTTTCCCCAACGCACCATAGGTCATGTACATTAATAGAGAGAAGCTCTGCTCGCTCCACTAGTTCCATCTCTTTTGCATACTCATCTGGACTACGTGATTCGTGAAGTTTAATGAATGCTTTGTGTTTCCCAGCATTGTGCACCGTTGAAGAGACGTGTGCGGACCTGTAATGTAACAATAATTTTATCATTTGTATGACGCCTCGTCAGCATTAATCATCCAAGGCAAATGAACAACAACTATGCTGCACTTTTCGAATTCGAGAACCCAATGTCTCTAGTTCAGAGATATTGAGTGGTATCTTAAGTAGACGTTTCATTTAAACAAACCACGGGTCTTTGTATGAGCTAATCACCTACGTGGATGTTTAACATCTTGCCATAACTTAGAGGTTTCCAATAACATGCATGTTTCAACATTGTTCGAAATCCTTTTTACCGTTACTTTTCCTTCTAGCTCACAAGATTCTAACTCCTCACCTTCGCGAATTGATTCTGCGTGAGTCAAGGCATTTCGTTTCTGTTATCATCAAATGTTACTAACTACTTTGGTTTTCGTTTTGCTTATGATTCGAGTCTATCTGCTTGAGTCATGTTGTCGGCTAGATAGTGGGACATACTTTTGCATTCATCACTTTTTGCAGTTGGGCGTTTTGTAGCTATTATTGGTGTAACGACCAGCTTGCTTTTATTCATGTGATCACATTTATCAGAGCTGTATGTTCAAAATGACTTGATGCACTGGTAGCTCGGGTCGATCGTTCCTGAGTTCACTTATTCGGTGAGCTTCAGAGTTGGGATGCAAACGTTTCATCACCAAGCGAGGTGACTTCGTCAGTGCGCTGCTGGATCCAATCTAATCTGCTGACTTGTTCGTCGATTTGTCAGCGGATTAGATTGGACCCAGCAGCGTACTGACGAAGTTACCTCGCTTGGTGATGAAACGTTTGCATCCCAACTCCGAAGCTCGGCGAACAAGTGAACTCAAGAGCTGTATGTGTAATTACATGTCTCCGACATTTCACTTTTTCAACTAGAAATAACTGCATTTCTGTTTCGTGGTCTACTGCGTTGCATCTGTGTACACCCCACTCCTGGCGACATCTGCGTCTCGGTGCAGAAGACCATACTGAGATCATATAGGCCTACGCTCATCGTTCCACTCTTCTACACTCGCGACATCTCTTGTACATGCGAACTAGTCCAATTTACCTCCGAATTTATCATTGACACTGATGTTTCACCCCCCTTCCAGTCCCACGAGGAACGAGCGAGCAGCTCCGCTGTGACATTGAGATGGGTGCAGAACACCATCACCTCCATAAAACCGTCAACCCATCCGGACCCATATGGTATCACCCCAGCTGTCATAAGACTAGGGTAAAAAATATCTATCTGTTGTCACCAAATATCTTCACACTTTCGCTACCTGCTGCTTCCCATCTCAGTGGAAGCACTCCATCATAATGCCCAACCAAAAGGTAGCTTGCGAAATAAACTGTCAAGCTGCCTCCCGACACATCGCACTTCTGCTGCTTCTAGAGCCCTAGAAAGAGTGTGCGATAGTTTCAGGGTCAACTTTGGACTACACATTGTGTGATTGGATTGCGATACGCAATCTCAATGTAATGGACCGTGATTCACATTGAAGTGAACCTTAGTCACTGCGATCACTGGGACCGTACTCAAAGCAGATGGGAATTGGGTGTTGCAGTACAGTGCAGTGTTTTCTTGCGGGCAACACCCAATTTCCAGTGTGCAGTAGTGTTCGCATGGCCACTGCGTCAGAGGTAAGGAGAACTATGTCGTCCGCATACTCCAGATTTGTCATTGGGTCGCCTTGAAGAACTTCCACTCCAGAATAATCTGAAAGAACCGAGTCATTCGTGATCATTTCAACCACAAACTTGATGAGGAAAGGAGATATTGTACAACCGTGGCAAACCTCACTTGTCATGGGGAACTCCGGATACAGTTTCCCGCAGACCCTTACATGGCCTTGGGAATTACGGTAGAGAAACTTTGAACTAGAGATGAATTTAGTCGACATGCCCCCCATGGATAGGCAGTGCCACAAGCTGGCGCGACCAACAGAGTCCAAGGCAGCTTTCAACTTAAGGAAAACGACCATAGTCGGTCGTCTGTGTCTCTTCTAAAACTTGGCGAAGAGTAAATATATCGTCGATGCAACCACAGCCAGGACGGAAACCAGCCTGGCTTTCAGTGATTCGGGGCTTACGGGGACCAGTAAGTCATCGAAGTATGATAACCGTGCGAAGTTTTGAGGCAGTGCAAATAAAGCTAATGCCCCGATGATTTTCACACAAACTACGCTGACCCTTCTTGAAAATAGGCACAACAGTTGATATTCGCCAGTCTGATACCACTTCTTCATTGTCCTATCTACAGTTCTTTCCATTATTGTACGAACATGATTTACTGATGAATGGCACTCATCATAATTCACTTGGGCATATAAAAGCCGTTTGACTGCGTGCGCCACACAAGCCACTGTCGCCTGTGTTAGAATCATATGGCATTGGATGCCATCTGCTAAGCTTGTTCGACTGGTGCTTAAACAATCGCACTTAAAGGGTCAGAGTAGGCCAGCAATACTCCGCGCCAAAACGAATAACCAGTGGCGTTTCCCATAGAATAGTGATTTGATCGCTGCTTTTCTTGATGTAAATAAACAACCTATGCGACCCCATCAAACGCAGACGCTCATTTCCGTTTGCAGTTGACG